ATTAAGGGTTGGCCAAAAAAGCTGTTACGATGTGTAAATATTGAAAGCTCAAAAAAAGCTTGGCATGCGCACCAATGAAGAGGCCAACCGAGAAGAAGGCTATCATTCTCAAATAAAGGTTTCCGAAATATGGTGCAAAAATAATTATTGTACGAATTATGTTCCATACTGTGCACAAATTTCATGCTGCAATGGCAGGGACGTAGCATCTAATTGTTTTGGCTATTCAAACCCTTGCCCCTTCACATAGTCCGAAATAGAACATACGAATTCAAAGCTACAAGTCAGTTGCTAATCGACCATCAAATTAAAAGGAATTTCTTCAAAGCAAAAAATGCTGTCACATCCAAAAATTCGGCTGACGAGCTAATAATGGGAATTATCGCCTTACTACGGGGCTTTATGCGCCATAAATTTTATTAATATACTTCGTTTCAATTCAGTAGATAAGTTTATTTCTTTCTTACCGTAGAAATATGTAGTTGCCAAATAATCTACAGCCATATCAGGGAGCTAATCACTGAACACCAGGAACAATGTTGAAGAACATCGCAGTCCTTTTAGCAAACTGGGACACCGAGGACTTATATGCGGTCTGTTAAGTGCAGAACAGTTGCAGGGAATATGATCCACTGCCTCCTCTTGTGTTCTGCATCTGCTAAATATGTACCTTATCATTGATCAGAACCAATTAAAGACGTGCGTTGCCAGGCGGCAATTCTTCATTAGAACACCCACCAGTAGCTTAATGGCCTACCTCTTGAGGGATAGGAGAAAATTTCTGAGCATAATTTCATACGCTCTGTATATAATCCTGGACACCTTGAAACCTTGCGTTTTGATCAAAACTTTCTGCGCCTTCTGGATCATGGAAAGGCCAATCTACTGTTTACTCGCTTGGATATAAATCTGAACTTCCTCTATCAGCATAGTTTTCAACAGAGCGTCTTCCTTTGTAGGTCATTCGGCCCCCTCTTTGCCTGCAACGCCGGTGTGCCCTGGCTCGTAAGTCCAGAGCTGCTCTGGCTGGAGGGTCATCCTCATCCAGCTTGGGATTGGACCAGTTCCGAACTTTGTATTAACTGTTTCTCCCATAGTGATTGTCTCATAAGTGAGCTGAGTGCGGACACACACACTTTCTGCTTACTGCGACAAATATGGGCATATCTCTAGGTCTTTTGACTACTTTTGGATACTTTTTAAAAGAAAATAGTTCATACATAATAGGAGTTACTGTAGTGTTTTATCCAATCTGAAACAATACCCGCTTGTTGTAATCTCAATGCTAGCTAAAACAGCAATGCGCAAACGTGAAGATTGTATGCTGCATTTCCTTTACCGAATGTGTTTAGCCGCTAATGATTTTTATACCCGAGCACACTTGTGCACAAGGGTATTATAACTTTGTTCACATAACATCGATGTACATAGATATACACAAATGTATACATAAATGATCATGAATGAAAAGAGAAATCGTTTAAGCGGTGACTGTCTGTCCGTCCGTCCGTCTGTGCACACGATAACTCGAGTAAAAATTGTACTTCTTTCGGCGTAGGACGAATGGTATTGAAAATGGGCAAAATCGAGCAATAACCACGCCCACCTCCCATATAACGGTAGTTTTCAGAAATACGAAAACTGCAATATTTTAGTATCTACTGAATATTATTCACTCAAAATTGATATTTGCAATAATTTTTAGACGAAAAGTAAGAATTTTTTAGATCTTTTGAAAATGGGCGTAGCCACGCCTACTTATGATTACATGTGTATATCTTAGTAACCGCTACACCAATTTCTCCCAAGCTTGGCACATTTGCTGGTCTTGGTAAAATATACCAAACGGTGGAAAATTTTTAAAATCGGACAATAACCACGCCCACGTCCCATATAACGGTAATTTGGAAAAATACGAAATTTTCGATAAATCGGTAAATACTGAAGCTAAATACGCTTAAATAAAATTTTGGAGAATGGACGTGGCACCGCCCACTTTTGACCACATATGTATATCTCGGTAATTGTTTCATCAATTTTTACCAAACTCGGTATGATTATTGTGCTTCCTACATAAAAGCAAACAAGTATTGAAATCGCCCCCTTTTCATATAACGGTACATTTCAGAAATGTTTAAAACTTCGATATTTCGAAATTTGAGAACGCTTATTTGCTCAACATTGGTACTAACAACAATCCCTTGAAAAGAAATAACATTATTAGGGAATTTTGGAAAATGGGCGTGATACGGCCTACATAAGCTGATCTCATATTGTTTAACTGAACGTTCTATCAAAGATGTTTGAACTAGGGGTAAAACCACCCCTGCTTACCATGTAGCGGTAGTTTTCGGAAAGATGAAAAAACTAGGTGTTCCATTCATAGATTAGATTAAAAAAATTAATAAACTAGTGATTCTGAATTATTAAAATTTAATTAGGCTTTCCCGTTTTTCACTGTCCACTTCTGATCAGTTTTGGTAAGTGGAAATCCCTCGCAGTCCTCCAAGACGTTGAAACGTAGATCAGCCTTAAACAGCCTTCACAGATTTTGTGAAGCCTTCGGCAACACCACCAGAAAAATGCAGCCCAACCCCGGGACTTATACCTCGAAAAGGAGCTTAAAACCTGGTCCAGTCTGGATGGCGTTACCATCGATTCTGTGGTGAATGCTCGCTGATTGCAATTTTATTACTCTATCGGTCGTCTTCGTCTTGCTTTTCATATATTACGTTGCATTTAAACCGGCTAGAATGATGCCGCCGGACTAATTTTTGAAGCACTCCTCTGCAGGCAAATTGTTTTTGTTGCCTATCGTTCGTGATAATGAATAAGGCTCAAGTCGACAAGATATATATATAGTGATGTTCCGATACCAGTACTTAGAAGTATATACTCGAGTGCATCTACCAAGTACCGAGTATTTTTTGTACTTCGATATGCGTGTACAAGTACTTCATTGATATCGAGTACAAAGTGCAAGTATTTACTTGTTTGCTAAATCGACTTAAATCAATTGAAAATAGATCTGTGTTGTAGTTTTTGATGATTCATGATGTGGACCACTCGATTTCGCTAGGGTTAAAACTGGCGAAGGTGGAGAACGAAAATCGAATCAATTTAGAGGAGGATGTGGAGCCAGCCTATGATTTGCGGAAGCGTCGTCTATAGATCCTTTAGAAAGCGCAGAATCAAACAAGTGTAAACAATGAGCTTTCTCAGCACTTCCAAGTAACCCCATTTCAAAATTGAAGCATATGAAAAGGCATTTTCAGCTCTTCATAAGCCTTTCTCCACTGTATGTCATTATTGTGAGTACTTTCTAGTACAAGTAGAATCGAGTATTTCCTAGCGATACTTTGAGTAGCATCGAGTATTCTCTTCGATACTTTTAATGAGTTCAGGCATCGAGTACATGGTGGTATCGGACGAACACTTGATACATACATATAAGATGTTTCCACCCGCTTTCAAAATAATGTGATGAATAAGAGTTGATATAATAGAAAAGTTAGCCTATAAAAAAGTTAAATCCACTCTTATTCATCACATTATTTTGAAAGCGGGTGGAAACATCTTATATGTATGATTATGTAGCGCTTCAATAGCACAAATGGAGCGCTTCTAGCCCCGTTGTGTGATTTGCCGTTTCAAATGTGTTAATTGAAATCATAAAACCGAAATTACTTACTTATAGGAGACATCTTTGCTAGGGAAAAGATAAGTTAATTAACTTCTATATTTTATTCAAAATGTTATGCATAAATACTTAAGTATATATAACCAATTGTATATAAATTTAAAATAATCATAATTCATAAATTAAAAAAATGCTGCTTTATTTGGAACACATACATACGTATGTACATCAACCGTAGATACCCTGTAGGATATTGGGTTAGACTAAAAGTACTGAATGAGCTAGACCTAAATTCTTGTAACCAGTTACTAATAAGGACCAAACATATGCAAATGCCTATTTACAATCAACATTTCTCCATATCGTTGACACCAAATGGATCCTTTTTGAGTCACAAATCAAAAACAAAAAAAAAACTGACATATTGATCCTCTTAAAATGCAACTGCCCTACCCAGTATTACATTTGCGCTATTTTTATTACGTATCACCTACCTAGAACTGCAACGCTTTCAGTTTTAATACAATTTTTGACATAGTTACAGAACAACTATCCTTATGGTTCACGATGCAGCAGAACAAAGGTGGCGCCTTCTGCGGACCGCTCATCCCCTCTTTCTCGCTGACGTCACATTATTATTTCTTCGCTTTACAGGTCTATTCTGCGCTGGTAATAAAAAGTTTGTAACCGGTAATTAAAGTGTCTGCCAATTTTTAAAGCCTTTTCGCATTCTGTGTACTCTTGTAACCAGTAAATTTTGTTACCATCTCATAAGCTGGTAACAAAGTATTACCCCGTGAAATATGCAATGCCAGAATTTGCACAATTCTTCATAGCTGAATTGCTGAATATTTTAACTGCATTACCAACGTTCCTAGAATCGCGGTGACAAGAACTGGTGACATTTTTTGGTAATAAAATTTTCCGGTTACAAAATCTTCGGTAACGTGTAGAATAGACCTGTTAGTGATGAATATTAAATATTCATATTGTACCTAATTGCCAAAAAGTTGTACCTTAAAGTAGACACACGTACCTAAACAGTAAAAATTATTATTTTTTCGCTTTAGTGATGAATATTAAATATTCATATCGTACCTAATTGCCGAAAAGTTGTACCTTAAAGTAGACACACGCACCTAAACAGTAAACATGTACTTTTATGAAACAATATTTTACTACGTTCCAAATGTACCTAAAATAATGCGATTGTACCGAATGTACGTTCAAATTTAAGAAGCTGAAGGCTAAGTACAATTCAACCTAGTTTTACATCACTATTTCGCACCACTTTTTCGTTTCTTCCTCTTCTTCTTCAAATTTATTCTTTACACTCTTATTCTCATAATAGCTCTGATCCAGTACTCCATGAACTTACAGGTTTTTACACGAATTTGCAGGAAGTCACAGGAATAATGATCCCATACTCCAAATTCCTCCAAAATCCTGTAAATGAGAGCGATTTTTGGAGAGTTGTGTAGCGAATGAAGTTGCAAGATTTTACCCGAACTTTTTCTTCCGGTAAAATCTTGAAAATTGTCAAACGATCACTGGTTGACGTTTTTACAGGAAAAATGCTTTTTGTTGTTACTCACTTTTTACTCTCACTTCAGAGAGTAATTTTGCTGTTTGACATTTTTACAGGATTTTACGCAAAAAGTATTGGATCAGAGCTAATAATGTGACGTCACACCCAGTTGTTATCATCTCGATTGGCGCAATCTTGTATTCTATCGTTCTTGCTTATGGTTGTAATATGTGGACATTTTACTTATATCTGCGGAGCCATAGAAGGTGTCGTCGTCGGTGCCATTGTACTGGTAATACTGATAATGCCGCAAGCAATGGCCGGACCCACAGAGTTTTCCTCATTCTGATAAGCCAAGGCATCTGGCATTGCTTGGAGTGAACTGGAAAACACTTCGGCATTTAGTGCCGTATTTAGGTCGATGGGCTTCTCATGAATAACTATCGAGCGTCCAACTATTCCATTAATGCCGAATAAATTTAAATATACACTGCGAAAACTAGCTGATATACTGCCATCGTCTTTGGTGTCAACATTACCGATCTATAAGTTAGGAGAAATTGTGAAATTAATCAAAATAATCCGAATTTTGATGTGCTTAGTATGCATTTATAAATAAGGCGTATGTATGTATATAGGTTTGTGCATGTGTATATGTGTCCTCATATGTACATCAGAGTGGGCAGTTCTCACTCATTTTATTCGTTCTACGCTAATATCCCTGTAGGGAAACGAACTAGTGCGGAACTGGTTCGGTTCTAGTGCGTTTGGAACCATGACTAGTACGCGTTAATTCTCTTTTGCATGCTAGCGACTGGCGAATTTAACGTTGCGATGTCCTAGGAAGTGTCAATTGTCCCCCGTTGCATCCCTTTGGCTCTAGTTCCGAACCAGTTCTAAAGATAAGATCTAGTTCGTTCTGCATCCCCTTTTCTTTAGTTCCAAACCAGTTCCTAATTCGACAGATGAGATCTAGTTCTATCTGCATCCATTTTTTATACTTCCCAACCTGTTATAAATTCGTCACCTTAGATCTACATTTCTAATCAGGCTTGTCGAAACATTTCCCTTCTATATTAAATACGATCGGTTGAAGGAAGGACAAATCATCAAATCACAAATGTTTAAACGCATTTATTAAAAATTTATAAACCACATTAGTAGTAGTAGTATTAAACTTAAGTAGTAAGTAAAAAACAAAAGTGCGTTCTGCTTAAAAGTAAAAATATTAGTTCACTTTGTCTTACTTGTCTAAATTTAAGCATATTGATTTTTAAGTAAATTCAGTTCTTTTTAAGCTTATATGTATATGAAGTACTTCGAAAGTTTTTGTCGTACTTAACTTAAATAAGATATACAGTCAGTCAATAAAGTTTAGGTACAGTGAAGTTTTTACAATACCGGCAACTATTTTTTAAATATTTTATTTTTCCCTAATTTTTTATAAAAATATGGTCAATTCTACACCAAAAACCCCAAAAATCAGTGTTCCAAACCTTATGCAAAATTAAAGGAAACTGCAAATTTCCATCCAAGTATTGCAATTTACACTCTTTAGAAAAAAGTTAAGTACTCAGTTATTAGCCCATTCAATTTTAGTATAACAAAGTGCAAGTTTTTTCCTCTCAAAATCATATTTTCGTATGTAGGAATAATATCAAATATTTAAGAGCAAGTACAGTGAATTCGCCTTTAATATTAGCACCCGTATTAGTAGTTTCGTCTTCGCGAAGTGTGCTCGTCTTCTCATTATAACAGATCGTCTTCTCTGGAAGTGTTCATGCTAGAGTACTCGAACATGTATGGAGATACATCACATGAAATCAAATGCATACTCATGAAGAAAAATTGTAGTTATTAGAAAAGGGGGCGTGGCACCCCGAGAAAAAACCCAAAAACGTTTAGTTATTTTGAAAAACTAAATTTTTTACTTAAAAATTAACAGTATTAGTTAATATTACCCCTAAATACACTAAGTACAACACTTAGAAAGACTTATGGAAGTTCGAAGTTAACGCTAGTAATATTCGGTAACACTAATAAAAATTAAAAAAGTGAAATTTTCTCGCAAAATTTACGTTAAGCAGGGATCACACGATTTGTATATTTGTTCAGATTTTTACGATTTTACAGTTTCAGAGTGATGTTGTTTGGAAAAGTTGTTATTGAGCTGAACTCATTCTCGATCAAAATTTGTAGACAACATTACTCTGTGATTGCCAAAATGTAGAAAGCTGTACAAATTTACAAGTCGGAATTTTCTTTATTATATTTTTTTTTTGGTAGCTTAGTACCTAACACCTACCCAAATTGCTAACTAGTTTTGAGGGCCTGTGTAATGCATAGTGTTATTGTTGTTTTGAATTCATGTGCACGCGTGACATTTTATTCTGGTATAATATTTAATTAAATATTACAAGCTTACGGATTCAGGCAAAATAATCCGAGTTCGTGGAATAGTGGTCGCCATTGGCTTGTAATTTATAAGTGTACCTACGTATACATATATCTTTATTATTTGTATTACATTAGATTTAAAGTCTGCAGTCTTATCTACATTTTACATTCATTTATTAAACTGTGTCGCGATTTTTACTACCCACCTAGTAAATATATTTGAGTAGCTTTATATGCTTATTTGTACATACAGATAATGCCAGTAGCCGGTGATGCTCCTTCTAATAAATAATAAGAAAGTCAAGTGTCATGCATGCATCCACTGAAACTGTATCTGTTGCAGCAGCCGAGAACTAACTGCTTTGACAAACATTCAGTGCAATAAAGCGTCTAAACATTGACTCTAAAGAGTCGCTATGCTGTGGGTGGAATGGAATAGCTTGTCGCTTATCACTATTGAATTCGACAATGGCATTGTTGTCATTTTGTTCATATCAAATGAATTTGTACATATGTATCCTATTAATAAGTGCTACATTTTTCTCATATGAATGAAGATGAATTTATTTATACATATATCTTTGAACTTATTTACATACATACATATGCAAGTAGATTAGAGAAAATAGGCAACAAACTGAAATCTCTGTCGTCGATTAATTGTGCTGTCGGCTACTTAGTTAGTTTTGAATATTCCCTTGAATTGGTCGCACTTTACTACACTAAGCAAGACTTGTTTCTATTTAAATAAGCTATACGTTGATGCAGTGATGCCTTTAAGATACATTAAACTCCGAAAAAGTGTGTGCCGACTTAACTTAACTTAAAAAGCTACTCAAATAGTATTACAATTTTCGATCTACAAAACAAAGGACCAGTTGTAAATTTCCCGGAATAATGGATCGCTTAGAGTCTACTTTAGAGACACTCGCACAACCAATGCCCCATCGACGACGACAGCACATCCCATGAATGTAGCGGAACTCAGCTCATCTTTGCAACATTTCGGCTTGGTAGATTATTTGGTATTTGTGCTTATGTTGGCGGCTTGTGCGGTAATTGGATTTTATTTCGGATTTATCGAGAAGAAAAAGAAAAGTGGCGCGGAGCAGCGCAGAGGATCGGAGGCATTGGACTACTTGGTGGGTGGAAGAAAAATGAAGGTGCTTCCGGTGGCGTTGTCGCTTGTCGCCAGGTAACCCATTTACAAAAGATGTGCTCGCATAACTAGCAGAAACACTGTGTATATAAATACGAGTATATGCATGTGTATGATTTTGTTTGCTTGCACCCTCTATTAGCGACTAATCCTATTTAATACTAGTCATGGGCTGAACAATTATTGTCGATACATAATACTCGGTACTCAACACTTGAGAAACAAAATTCGGTACCCAATACATACCGTCACTACACACGAATAAAGGCGCGCTAGTGTTTTGACGGCGAAAAAAGGCGCGTAAAGAAATTTTGCGAAAAAAGATGCTTATGAAAAACTTCGGCGAAGTATGTTAAGAGTCTTTGACGCTGAAGTTTTTTTATGCGTCTTTTTTCCCCGTCAACTTTTGAGCTCGCGCCTGTATTCGTGTCTAGTGACGTACTTTCTTTTCGGTACCCGATACCGATTCGATACATTAAACCTTCGTCATGTGGTCAGCTGATTAAATTTAGTGACATTTTGACCAGTTTTGCTTATTTCTATTTTGTTTACTTTTAATGTTTATAAGACCACCTAAAAAAATTCTTGAAATTTGCACTTTAACCTACTAAAATTTAATGGCTATAAAACTGCGCAAAGAGTTCAAAAATTTTTGGGTAAAATTGTTAAAGTTTGTTTAGTTTTTATAAATTTTGTACGAGTTTGAAATGTGGATTTTTGTGGTTCCGGTTTGGTAATGTACTAAACTTTTATAAAAACAAATTATAAACAAATAAAAAATAGCCAAACCTGGTCAAAACTGCTCAAGAGGTATACTTTTTGCAGAAAAAAATATTACATTGGTATTTTATATGACATCGCCTGAGAAAAAAGGACAAATAAGACGATGTTTCCTCAAAAGATGAGCAATGTGTATGCCAGTATTTGAACCTTCTGGTATATATCGCCACAGTCTTACCCACTTCAATAGTTCTTGTGGCAACATTGTTAATTCGTAATATTTATGGCAACTCTCTATTCAAAGAATATTTATTACGATTTGCAGTGTGGTTGCCGCAGCGTCAGATATTAATCCAGCGACGAGAACGCTCAGATCCAAATAATGTGGAGAAATAGATTTCTTTAACAATAGATTAATTACTCCAATGTTCACTAAACAGCTTTTATTCCATATTTGTGGGTATTGCGGAATCTTATTAGAAATTCCAATATTTGGGTACCGAGTATCGAAAGTATTGGATACTTTTTAAATCGCTACCGAGTATCGCTCAATACCTAATAGTACCGACTAAGCACATCACTATTTAATATCGGTACTCTAATTAAATTTTTGAATAATAACATTTGAACAGTATTTTAAAATTTAATAACACAAAATGTAATTGATAAAATATGTCGTGGTTAATACATTGTCTGCACACACAGGCAGTCCCTGTTCACGTTCTTCAAAAGCACAAAGAAGCAAATGCGTTTGTGTAATTACGAATTCCCAACACGTCGCGGCAATTTGATTGCTTCTGCGTTGCAAATTCAAACTTAAGGGGCGGTAGAAGAAAGCCATACAGTTCTCATAAGCTCACAAGCAAAGGAAATACTATATCTAAATCGCGGCTGTAAGCAGAGAGACCAGTTTGAGCGATGAAATGAAAACGGTTAATAGAGAATAGATAGTGAAAATATCATGTTGCGTAAAGTTATTCGGATATGCCTGGAAAGCCAATTATTTTATGCCTAACCATGAATATTTTAAATATCAAGGTAATGGATACTTCAGGGAACATTCACAAAATACGAATCCCTTAATTCAAAATCCAATTGAGGGTTGAGAAAAATTCCGGAAAAATTATCTTTGGCCATGGCGTCCATGCATACAGTCATACGTTCATACGTACGTACTATAGAAAATGGGATTTTGTCAAGACTTCCCTGGACTTGGGTTCCCGCGGAAT